CCCACAACTAATGTAAGACTAATGGGTCTATAATTACAGGGACAATTTTTGTCACCTTCCTTAAAAAGAGGAGTTACACTAGCTAACTTCCAATCCTCTAGTACCTGCTCACTATTCAAAGACTGACAAAAAATAGTATCAATTGGCTCACATATCAAATCTTTAACCTCTTTCAAAGCCCTTGGGGAAATATTATTTGGCCCAGGAGCCTTATCATTTTTTAAACTTCCCAACCTTTTCTTAACCAGTTCAGAATTAATGCAGTCATCTTGTTTCCATCTATCAACTGTTCCAGATGTGGAATATTGCTTAAATCTTCATTTGTAAAAACTGAAGAAAAAGCAAAATTTAATACCCCAGCCATGCATACTCATTAAATACGAGCCTTCCTCTATCATCTCTCAAGGGTCCTACCCCATCCTAAGATTCTGTTTATCCTTAATGTATTTAAAGAAATCCTTACTGTTAATTTTTACACTTTCAGCCAACCTTTTCTTGTACATCCTTTCTGATGTCCTAATTTCTTGTTTCAACCAACTTTCTTGATCTTCTATAATCTTCTAAATCTCCTGTCATACCAGCCAATTTAAATTTCTTATGCTTTTCTTTATCTATCTTAAACTCTTTGTGAGGCAACCTGGTTTTTTACTTGCAGCTATCCTTTTTTTTTCTACATGGAATAAGTTTATCTTGAATAATTAAAATTTTTTCACATCTGATCAGTGTCTCCAAATAATACAGCTGCCCAATTCATAACAGATAATTCTTGTCGCATCCCTTCAAAATTTGCTTTTTTGAAATTTGTAACCAAAATATTATTCTTTTTCTCCATATGCAGCAAAACCTTGAACCTAAATGAGCAATGATCACTTGCACCCAGATTATCCCAAATTTCTACCCTCTCTATCTTTTCTATATTTGAAATTAACAATAAATCTAAAATAGCATTGTTTCTAGTAGGTTCCTTGACTAATTGGTGAAAAAAGCCATCATGAACAGTTTCCAAAAACCTTTCTTCATCATGGTTTAACTAGCATTTCCCAATCTATATGCCTGAAATTAAAATCACACATAATTATGACTTCATTAACATGTGAAATCTTAATCTCATTGTAAAATTTCTTACTAATTTCATCAGTATCACTTAGTGGTCTATAACAAATTCCCACTAAAAGCCTTTTCCATTTATATCCACAATTAGAAACTGAAATGGATTCAATTTCCTTGCTATTATCTTTGATATCCTCATCTTCAACAGGATGTAACTCACATTTTACATATAATTTATAAAGCCATTGCTTCTCCCCTCTTTAATTCTCTATCCCTATTAAAGAGCCTGTAACCATGTATTTCAAATAAATTTCATTCATCAAAATCATCTACATTTAAACATGTTTCAGTTATTCCCATTATATCAAAATTCTCCATTCCTACCAGTGCTCTAAGGTCATCTATTTTGTTTCTTATACTTCTAGCATTACAATAGTA